GTGCTCGTAAGGTTTGGTGCGGGCCCTAGAAGTTTGTCGCACGTCCCCTCCCTTCGTGCTCGTAGGTGAGGGCCCCTAGAGATTAGGCCTGAAAACTCTAGAACCATAACGTGCTTGAAGGGCCCAGCGTGCGAGGTTTGAAGGCTTCAGTCTTGGTTCGTCCTGGAAGTCCTTGTGCGTGGGCAAAGACTGAGCGTGTTCAACTAGCATCCTGCTTTGCGTGACCGAGCGTACTCAAATAGCACCCAAGTTTTGGGGACCGACTGTGTTCAACTAGCATCCTGCTTTTTGGGGGGCCGAGTGTACTCACACAGCACCCAAGCTTTGGGATTCAGAACACTCCAAAAGCAAAACACATCCCTTAGAGGCTTGTCGTATGTCCCTCCCTTTGTGCTCGCAGGTTTTGGTGAGGGCCCTAGATGTTTGTCGCACGTCCTCAGTCCTCTCCCTTCTCTCTCGTAGGGTGACATGGTAAACAACCAGCACCACATCTGCGCCCTGCGGACCAAACAGCTCGCGCCATGGCGCAAGCTATTTGGTCGCAAGGGAAACATCCATGGAGCTTTTAAACGTCAAAGCTCAAGTGTTCAGGGCTGGTCGCAGGGGCATATTTACAACGTTTATGAAGCCACGATTACATTACCAGCACAGGGATAAACATCTCAATGTACTGAAACCACCTCTTTTAGGGAACGTGTTTTACTGGTCGCAGGGGCATATTCACAACCCGTATAGAGCCACGATTGCGTCACCAGCACAGGTTTTTGGGTTTCATCGTAAGCAACTAGCACCCAATCTGCGCCCGACCAAAATTGCTCGCGCCAAAGCTCCCCCCTCGCCCGCATACAATGGCCAACTTGCAAGGAGAAGTTTGCCACGCGAGGCTCCGAGGCATGACGGTTTTTCCTTCTTTGTAAACCCTAAACCCTAAACCCTAATTCCTAAACCCTAAACGTGTATTTCCCAAATGCCCGCCCCTCAGGCTTTCTCGATGTTTCCATGGTCGGCGCTTGTGTCCTTGATTGCCAAATTGCCAAAGAAAGAAAAAAAAACATGGTCCGTGCAGGTCCGCGCCCATTTTTTCCCCAACTCTGCTTGCTCTGTGACAAGGTTGTAGAACATGTTAAAACTCCCTCGGCGCGAGCTTTTTTGGTCTTTGGCACGAGCAATTTGAGCGCACTCAAATAGTGCTCAACTAGCATCCTGCTTTTTGGAGACCGAGCGTACTCAACTAGCACCCAAGTTTTGATGACCGAGCGTGTTCCACTAGCATCCTGCTGTTTCAGGACCCGAGCGTACTCAAATAACACCCAAGTTTTGGGGACCGAGCGTGTTCAACTTGCATCCTGCTTTTTGGGGACCGAGCTTTCTCCAATAGCACCCAAGTGTTGGGGACCGAGCGTGTTCAACTAGCATCCTGCTTTTTTGGGGACAGAGAGTACTCACATAGCACCCAAGTTTTGGGGACCGCACTTTCACAACACGAATATCCCCTCCCATTCTTGCCTTGCTATAGTTAGGGGTTAGGGGTTTTTTGGCGACATCAAAGGCAAACACAGCAAAAACACAGAAGCGCGATGAGCAACGCTCCTTTGAGACATGGGCATTTCCAAACAGAAACAAAACAAATTGAGAGAGAGAGAGAGGCAAAAACCAAAAGCCGGCAATGTTTTGCAGCGAGAGAAACCCTTCAACCTGGACCAATATGGTTTTCGTACTTTGGTTTGCATTTTTCGGTTGTGGTCGTGTCGCAAGATCTAAGCTTTGCCGCGAGAGTTTAGGGATTCGGGCCAGAGAACCCCAAAAACCCCAAACCACCTGAACCCTCACAAAGGCGCTAAAACCCCAAAACCCAGAACCCTAAACCCTCGATTCGTGACGTAATGTTTTTGTTTTTGGGCGGCGATGTCATGAACAAAGGGCAAACGAAAAAAAACTCAGCGTAACAAACGGGGCCCCGATTCGCTAATCCATGTTTCGGGTTTGGGCAGCAATGTGCCGTGAAGGAAGGAGACAACATATAAACTTGGCGCAGCGAAACGGGGCCCCATATTGTTACACCGTGTTTTTGGTTTTGGGCGGCGACGTCATGGACAAAGGACATGTTTTTTGGTGCAGCTGTTTTGTGCCCTACTGGCTGGAGCTAGATGACCGTGCGTTCCTTCTGCGTGAATAGACAACAAGTCTGGCTTCGTTCTAGTTCTTTGCAACTCGTTGAGAACTTGTCCTATGCACTTTGAATCCCTTGATAGCGTCTTTTTGCTAACCTATTGCTAACATTTTCTAACTTTTTCTATCTTTTTCTAAGTGTTTCTAAGTCTTTCTAACTTTTTCTAACTTCTCAGGCTATCTTCTCTAACTTTTTCTAACTCTCCGAACCTTATAACATCCATAAGTCCCGATAACGTTTTGGGACCGTCTTAGAAGGGGAAACCCTCCGTAACAAAGCGGCGCTGTTTCTTTGAAGGAGAAACGCTCCGTAACAAAGTGTCGTTAATGTAAAGAATGTGTTCGGATGTGGTCCGAAGAATGGCTGGACTAGACTCTTCACGCTCAGAACTGCTGAACCCTAAACCGTAAACCCTAAACCCTAAGCCCTAAACCCAAAAACCCTAAACCTCTAAACCCTACCCCTAAACCCTAAACCCTGGACCCTAACTCACTGCTTGCAATGTTGGCCAAGTTTAAAACTAATTTTGCCGTAAGCCCAAAACCCGGTGCCTCTGTGGTTGGCGCAGGCGGAGCTAGCGACGCCAGCGGCGACGGCAGCAGCCGAGGGTTTAGGGTTCAGGGTTTTGGGTTTTAGCGCCTTTGTGAGGGGAACCCTGGCCCTAAACCCTAAACTCTCGCGGCAAAACTTAGATCTTGACACACGACCATAACCCGAAACTGCAAACCCTATCAATTCAAAACAGGCATGGCTCATCGTGCTTCTGTGTTTTTGCTTTGTTTGCCTTTGATGTCACCAAAAACCCCTAACCCCCAACTATAGCAAGGCCAGCATTGTGCTCGTAGGGTTTGGTGAGGGTCCTAGAAGTTTGTCGTATGTCCCCTCCCCTCGCTCTCGTAGGGCGAGGTCGTAAGTAACTAGCATCCCTTCTGCACCCTGCTGACCAAATAGCTTGCGCCATGGCCGAGCTACTTGGTCGCAGGGGAAACATCTATTGTGTTCTAACACATTAAGACACGTCAAGGCTAGTGTTCTGCGCCCAAAAGCTCGTGGCCCTATAGCCCGCTTGCATGTTAAAACGGCTCCAAAGGCCTGTGCTGGATAACCCGCGCGCCTTCTAGGGCCCTCACCCTACGAGCACGAAGGGACATGCGACAAACTTCTAGGGCCTTCACCAGGCCCTAGCACGAACGGAGGGGACATACGACAAGCCTCTGAGGGATATGTTTTTACTTCTTCAGTGTTCTGAAAGTGCAAGCATTACGAAAAACATAGGATGTTTTTGCGCTTGCACACCCTATGGAGCCGCGATAACGTTATCAGCACACAAGGGACAAACATCTCTGTTTACTTACAGTACACCACCTTTTTTACGGGCTGTGAAGCCTTTCGCAAAGCAAGAAGAGCTGAGTAAAAACCCTGATTGCTCAGCAAAAGGTTCTAGACATGCTCGCAAAGTGAACGGATTGAAAGGACACTCGCTCTTTTTGCGTAGGAGTCGGCAGGCGGCGGTAGGTCGTCTCTATTCGCGCCGACCACAAAACGTCGGATGCGTGAGACTACCTGCCACCCCACCGATTTGATTTGGGCGGAGTGGGAGGGTTCGAAATTTCTGGGCTACACACACAAAGAACCTGCATGACTCTGCGCACACACGCACACAATGCTCGCAACATGTCATTCCGTGCACTTCGTGCACTACACTACAAGCGCAAAAACATCCTACGTTGTTCCTCATGCTTGCACTTTCAGAAGATTGGAGAAGTAAAAACACATCCCTTAGAGGCTTGTCGTATGTCCCCTCCCTTCGTGCTCGTAGGGTTTGGTGAGGGCCCTGGAAGTTTGTCGCACATCCTCTCCCGTCTTGCTCGTAGGGTGACTAGAGGTTATGCCTGAAAGCCCTAGAATTATAACGTGCTTGAAGGGCCTAACGTGCGAAGTTTGAAGTTTTCAGAGAGGCGTCTTAGTCTAGTTGGTCCTTGCGTGCACGAAAAAACTGAGCGTGTTCAAATACCATCCTGCAGCACCCAAGTTTTGGGGACCGAGCGTGTTCAACTAGCATCCTGCTTTTTGGGGATCGAGCGTACTCAAATAGCACTTTGTGCTTATAGGGTTTGGTGAGGGTCCTAGAAGTTTGTCGCACGTCCCCTCCCTTCGCGCTCGTAGGGTGATCGTAAGCAGCTAGCACCCCATTTGCGCCCTGATGACCAAATGGCTCACGCCATGGCGCGAGCTACTTGGTCCTAGGGGAAACATCCATGTTGTTTTAACGCGTTAAGACACGTTTTCAGGGCTAGCGTTCTGCACCCAAAAGCCTGCGATGGTAGCGGATTCGTGGCCCTGTAGACCGCCTGCCTTTTAAAACGGTTCCAAAAGCCTGTGCTGGTAGCGTAATCGTGGCCCCATAACCCGCCTGCCTTCTAGGGCCCTCACCCAGCAGGAGCACGTTGGCCGGATCCACGTTTCAAGTAGGGCTGGGGCATGTTGGCCGGGTCCGGGGGGAACATGCAAAGACTGTCAGCGTTCTGCAGGTGGACTGCTACGCGCCTGTTGCCCGATGTTTTTGACGCGCGTGTATGGGTGACGCTTCCAAAGAGCATCCCGACTCATCTTGCGGATGCCACGCTGTGCACAACTGACCCCCACCCCCCGCCCTCACCCCCTGCGCAAACCTAAAACATCAACCCAACCGAGGTCGCAGCAGTCGTACGCGTCCTCGTAGTTGTCCTCGTCTGATGGTCATACGAACGGTCGGCAGCGATGGCCCGTGCACACGACCATCACTAATTGGCACGTGTCAGAGCACCAGCCTTGCTGCATCAAGAGCCCCTCAGCACGTCGCGAAGTCCTGCAAACCATCTTTTGGGAACCGTTCAAGTTTCCATTCACTTTGCAACATGTTCATACGGCCTGGTCCCAACTGCCGTTGTCTACGTACTCGATGAATCGTGGCCTGAGAAAACGGGGTAAGACTTTAAGTAAAACAATTGGTCGTGGCATGAGCGACACGCAGTTGATCGGGATGGACGGCAAAGTTGGCCAACTCCTAGCGCAAAGAGCTTCAGGTTTCGCAGGTTTGGCGCAGAAGGCATGATGTTGCAATAAGTCTCGCAGCGCCTTCTTTCCCCTCACCTCTGGTGCAAAAGGGGGATCCAAAGTGAACTCCTCAAACTTGTCCTCGATGAGTTGTTGACAAGCGCTACTACAGGGCTGAGTCTGAGGTGTGAGTCAACGCATAGATCCACATCTTCCATTGAAGGAAGGAGAGGTAATCCGGGACTCCGGACCCAGTCGAAGGACCCTTTGTACCATGCATGGGCCTCCCACGCTCACCATGGCGCACAAGGAGTGCTGCTGGAGGAAAGCAGAGACAAGCACGATCAAGATTGCCTTCAAGTTCTGGGCACCGCCCGGGAGCATCGGGAGTCGGTTCCATGGCTCGTTTTCACACATGGCCTGCAGCAGTGGAAGACATGCCATCTTCTTTTGCTTCAGGGAAGACTTGAGCTGACTCGGAGCACATCCAGCCTTGCACAGGTCCTCACATTGGAGGAGCTGCGGCGGAAACTCCACTGCGTTGATGCCGTTCCTCGGATTTTCAAAACCTCCACAGATCATGACGAAAGCCACACATCTCCAAAATAGGGACGAGCTCTAAGAACAAGGCAATACTTTCTCGTAGATTTCCATCTGGCTCGGCCTTGTGCAGCTTAGACAGGCACCACCGGGAAAAACGCAGCTGCACCTACCAAAGCTTGAGGGTGGGGGCCGCGCGCTCCGAAAGGAGACGACCCTGTCCTGTGCAGATGGCGATTTTGACAACATGTAGGGTGCTCTGCAGTGCCCTTCAGCCCCATGTTTGAGGAGCGATCATGAGCTCGAAGATGAGCACCCCAAGCATCCACCAGTCGACGGCATGGCTGTGTCCAGTCCTCAGTCACAAAGTGGGTGCCTGCCACCAGCGCCCGTGCGAACACAGAGGGCCGCGCATCGCAATGACCTCCGGAGCATAGTACTCGGCGGTGCCACAGGTCGTGTAGGTCTGCGATCGAAGGACTATGGGAGACTACGGGCCCGCTTCCAGGGATCACCTTGCCTTACCAATGACGACTTTGGCCAAGCCCATGTCTGTGACCTCATAAGTGCTTAGTTTTTGACAACATGCACACACACACACACACACACACACAGAGCAGCAGGCACATCTGGATCAAATGCTGGAACTAGCTGAGACAAACCTTCAGGTGGCCCTTCTCGTTGAGGAGCAGATTCTCCGGCTTCAGGTCCCTGACACGGCGCATGAACGGCAAGCAAATCCAACGCTCGTACCCTGACTCAGGCAAGGTTGCCTGTAGACGATGTTCCTTTCGTGTAGATGCTCGAGTGCACACACCTTTGACACGCATAAAGGATCACCATCTCGATTCCTTTTGCAGAGCGGCAGCAGCAGCAACAAAGCAACACAAATGAGACTGGCACCACGCCAGCCGAATAGTATCTTGCATGTTTCTCGCTGCCGTAGAAGCCCTGCGCACTGAAACATGCAGCTTGATTGATCTTGCTTTGCAGACTGGCCTTCCGATGGTAGACTGAGTGCAGGTCTCCTCCTAAAGCAGGCCTCCAGTTCTTGTGCGCGGCTTCTGTGTCCAAATGCCGCATGAAAAAAGGCGGCAGCTTCAGGCCCCGGCTCCATCAAGAAATAGATCCACTGCTTGGAGTTGTACCTTTCAGCTACAAAAACACTCAACAACATCTTAATCCAGTCTCAGCAAGCTTGGTGATGATACATGTTAGTCCGTGGATGGAACGTCTGATAGAGGCGGATGATGAAGTCGGAATTCGTCATAAAGAGGATGTTCTTCTCAGTGATGACATTGTCCTTGATAAATCCATCTGTAGAAACTACACCGACGCGATTGAACTTCTCGCGTCCTGTGTGCCCGTCTCCACTATGAGCCCTTTGCTGACGCCTGACATTTGGAGATTTTGTCAAGTCTCACTACTTTAACTGCCCATAGAAGATTCTTCACGAGCCGCCGACATTTCACGGCGTAGGTTTCACAGGCGGTCTTGTGTTCCCACAGTTCTACCTGCATCACAAAGCTTTCCTCAAGATTCCTCCAGGAGAGCCACACACGAGCCATACACGCATCCAAGGCACGATGCCGAAGCCACCTGCTCCCAGGAGACCGACCTTCTTGAGATCGCTCATCTTGGGCCTTGCACTCGCATATACTTGCATCACTTGTGATTTCGTCTTCGAGCGAAAGCATGAAAAACGTCACCGGCCTTCTTGGGTCGCCAGCCGTCGCTCGAAGCGGCGCCTGACCCGATAATGGTAGCGGTAGCCACACTGGGACAAGCACTACTGGAAACGGCAGTCGTGGAAAGAATAACAAGGGTGCGTCTAGCGGCTTATGGAGGGTTTCTGTGGCCACTAAGGGATACGTCACAGAGCGCAAGGCAAAAGGAGGGCGACAGGCCTTGCGCTTCTTCCTGCCCGGCCCTCCCTGGCAGCATGTGACCACGTGGGAAACAGCTCTCTCCAAGAACAAATACTAAAGAAAAGTGCTAATTCAAAGAAAACCACAAGAACAACATCTGAGGAGAGCAACCTTGCCTTCCCCAGAAGCACTGCAAGACCTGGAAGGGCTTCACGCAAGCTGACCACATCCCACTACTTCGTCCGGATTTTGCGCCGGCCGCCGCGCTCGAGGGTCAGAAAAATCTCCGCTGGGTCCCCCTGCTGAGGATAACTTCGGCTTTCTTGTCCTGAGAGGCCTGCGGGGGACCGAGGTGTGAGCACAATTGCACGGAAGGGGCACGCGTCTGCGCGCGTCTGACTTGTGGAAAGGTCGAGAGAAGGCTGCGCCATGCTGCGCCGCAGTTGTGCCGATTTCGACATCCTCTTGCGAGCAACGGCGAGGCCGACAGGCGTCGGACGAAATTTGACGGTTCACTTCGAACTTATGAGGTACTCTGCGAGCAGCGGGAACAAGCGTCGAGTTGACAGTAACAATGCTCTCCGGCCTTGGACTTATCGCTTTGGGCATCTTCCTCAACAGCGTCCTGAGACAGGCTAACACAAAACTGCCGGGTGTTCTGTAGGAAGTCGTTAGAGTTAGACCGTTCGACCGGCTCTGGGCTTGATTTACTCAAATGCATAATACATAGTATATCATGTACAGTCTACAAAATGTAGTGTAGAATTCGCAATATATATATATATATATATATATATATATATATATATATATATATATAATTCATAATGGGTAATCATGCGCGTAGCACGTACTTTTATGTCTATACAACTATATAATGATATAACTATACTTATTATAAGAACACAAACTCGGAGCTGTACCAGTAATGCAAGAGCTCTGTGTAGCTTGCATGAACAGTTAATTCGAATGCCGGTGGTCAGTCACCCCGGACTCCAGCAATGTTAACCCCAAGCCCTTTCAATCATGGCCTTGACGGAGGCTCTTGGAGGCATAAAGTAAGCTCATTTTGAGCTCTGAACCCTGCTGAACCCGTCAACACTTCTTTCGTTCCCGGGTTGGTGGCCTCAGAGGTGGGCTTGGGCTCCTCCACGTGGGGAAGAGCCTGAGCCTTTGAGGGAACTTGCATGCAGGATTCGGGCACAACTTGAGCAGCGCGAGAAGCAACTTCGCATGTGGACCCAACATCCATTCATGGGACAGCCGCATGTCTATGGCAGGAAGACTTGACTGAATATTTCCATACCCTAAACCCTAAACCCTAAACCCTAAACCCTAAACCCTAAACCCTAAACCCTAAACCCCAAACCCACCTCTGTTCAAGCACTTCAAAAACCTCAACCTCAGTCCCATTCATCAGGTTGGCTGCCCCGACGCCCGGAGCATGACCGTTGGCTGTGGATGTATGCTGTAGGCTTGAGGCCCTCCGCACCCCGTTTGGATGGATATGAGAACTACAGTGAAACTGAAAACTCAACCCCTTGCACCTTACTTTAAACCGGAGTGCAAGCGCCTTCGGAGTTCTCAGTGGCTGAGGGCTTCGGTTTTGGGTTAAGATGGGTTAAGGCAGAGCTTGGAGGTTTCAAGATCTTGGGGCCATGGACATGAATCTTGGGAGAAGCAAAATCTTTTAGGCCCGCAGCCTGTGGCTCCGGAAGGAGAGCACGACCTGACTCGTCACCGTAGGCCTGGGTCCAAGTAGGGCACCAAGTATCTTGCAGGATCTTCGGGGCTAGCGGCCAAGGTGGGCACGTGCAGCAAGAATTTACAGTAGCTTCTTTTCAGCTGAGGTTTATGTCTCAACAGATCAAGGCACATTCTTCAGCTGGGGTTCAAGTGCTGCCCAGAATGCAAAAAGTGCGCAAGGCCATGAGGGGATGTACAAGACTCAGGTGCTGGCTTCAAATGGACTCGCGTCCGCCAGAAAGGGATACGCCGGATACTCCTCTCCACCAAGCTGTGGATCCCAGTAGCGAACTGAATGTGACATGATGTGATGGGTTGGGGATCTGTCCTCTCGAGCCCGCGCGCCGCAGCATTGCTGCCCCATGTCGGAAAAGGTCGACAAAACGATTCGCCGCAGGGGCTACCAGAGAAGGAAGGCCTATCCAATCCGTTGCGCTTCTTTGTTGTGGTTCTGCTTATACATACATATATGCTGTCCACAGGCTGAGATTTGATTTTGAGTCTCACGTCGTCATGCACAAATGTTTCACGACGTCAACGGCCAGTAGTTCAACCTCTGCAGTAAAAAGCAAGCACTGTCGAATGCCGATAACACGGCCATGCTGTTTATGTGAACTTTAATTGTGCCTGGTTGAAGTAC